GCAGTGATGGACTTAGCTGTGACTTTGGGATGCAATTTTAATACTTATAGAAATGGAAAATTATGGTATTGCACCTCAAGGGAAGCAGTTGGGGGATATTATTGCTTATTTTTTAAGAGTATTTTGTAATGTTTATTATTTTAAAAGATCATAAATATTTGACTATGATATTAATTGAAGGGGTGATGGTATATTATATTATATATTATATATGATAGCCGGGGTGGCGGTTGGGACCCCCAGACTTATGGTCTTGGGGGACTTCAACCTTCCATCAGCGGGTGAGACGTCGGCGGAAGCTCAGGAGTTCTTGGCTTCCATGACGGCCTTGGACTTGACCCAGTTAATTCAGGCCCCCACTCACACGGGTGGACACACACTGGACCTAGTTTTTGTCTCTGGCCAGTGGCAGAATGATCTGACAGTAGGGGAGATAGTTGTTGAGCCCTTGTCATGGTCAGATCATTCTCTCCTAAGGTTGGACTTCCGGACCGCTCCCCCTCACCGCAGGGAGACGGAACCGCCTAGATGGTTCCGTCCCAGGCAACTGATGGACCCTGAGAGGTTCCTGATGGAGCTTGGGCCATATCCGGAGGATCTGGTCCACGACTCGGCGGAAAATCAGGCGGCGGCCTGGGAGACAACTGCCGCTGCAGCATTGGACCGAGTCGTGCCTTTGCGGCCTCTGACCCGACGTAGGTCTCGACCAGCTCCTTGGTTTACTGAGGGGCTGAGAGAGATGAAACGTCGGAAAAGACACCTAGAGAGCAGTTGGAGGGCCAGCCGAACCGAATCCGATCGAGCACAGGTAAGGATACATCTTAGATCCTACCTAGTGGCGATGAGGGAGGCTAGGACTAACTACTATGCCTCACTCATTGCGTCATCAGATAATCGCCCGGCCGCCCTCTTCAGGGTGACCCGCTCTCTCCTTCAATTGGAGGGGAGGGCCGAGGACTTTGCACAGTATCTGTATGACAAAGTCGCGCAGATCCGAGAAGGCTTAGACTCTGACTGGTCGACCCAGGGGGAGGAGACGGGAGCACGTCTTGAGACGGTTGTATGGGAGGAGTTTGACTCTGTTGCTCCTGAAGATGTGGACAGGGTCTTGGGGAGGCTGAATGCAACCACATGTTTATTAGATCCGTGTCCCTCCTGGCTGGTACTGGCAGCTCGGGAGGGGACACGAGCCTGGCTCCAGGGAATTATTAACGCTTCTTTGCAGGAGGGTGTCTTCCCGGCAGC